AACTTATAGTTTATGCAAATGAGCCATGTGGTTTTAAGTTTCATTTCTGTAAAATGTAAACAAATGTGCTCAAAGTTGTGAGGAGGGAACGGACGCAGAAATGACTCGGTTGCTCCTCTCCATGTGGAGGAGCAGCAGCTCTACTCCGAGCTCCTCACTCTGTCTCTAAGGGAGACGCCCAGACGCCCTGCAGAGGAAACTCATTTGTGTCTCCTGTATCGTGGATCTGGTCCTTTCGGTCATGACCAGAGGTGAGATTTTAAACGTGTGAGTCTGTGATGGCGTCAGCTGTTTCCTGTCTCCAGTAAAACCAGTCCCTCTGAGACTCTGAAGTGTCAAAGATCAGACTCTGCACTTCTAGTTTAGATCCAAAACAAAACTGTGTTATTATTTTTTGTGAAACATGGTGCGAAAACTTCAGATACAAGATTTTTAAAGCACAGAAGGTTTCTATCAGGTTCTTCATCTTGTTTTCAGATTTATTTTCTACTTACTCATTCTGAATCGGTTGTATCATCTTAAAAACTGTCACATAAATTTCTTTTATGACTCAACTCGTCAGAAAATCTTAAATTTAGACAATAAATGTTTAAAAGAAGCTACAATCCATTTATCAAAGTTTTTCCTGCAACACTTCACTTGTTTTCAGATTCAGTTATACAGATGAATCATTTCACTAAGTTTAAGTCATTTTCTGATAGATTTAAGTGTTTAGATACTAGAGTCACTGTCCATTAATCTGCAGCTTCAGCTCGATCCGTGCGCCGTGTGGATGTAAACAGACACACGTGAGGAACTACTCCGGCCTTTTTACTCTTAAACAACGCCTCAAACTGGATTCACAGCTCCGTTTTGTGGACTGGGGTCATTGTTTGCGGACGACAAATTCCATGGATAATGCGGAGGAGATGCTGAAGTTTAAATTTACAAGTTTTCGAGAGCTGAGCTGAGGTGAGGTGAGTCATAAAGTCTTCTCGTTATTGTCGCAGAGTTCAAAAGTCGGGTCTCGCCTCCTCGGACTCGGGAAGAAGCAAATCGTTGCCAGAATGGTGCGAGTTCTCCTGCAGTGTGCGGCGGCCTTCAGAGTTCATGCACTCAGCCAAATCATCTAAACTCTAAACTCTAAACTCTAAACATGCACAAACTGTTTCAATCCAAATCCAATCTGAAACAAAACTGTAGTGAAAAGACTTCTATAGGAGCTTCTATAGCGGACACCCCCTGATACAGACCGAGTGTGTGTGAGTGTGTGTGAGTGAGTGTGTGTGAGTGTGTGTGAGTGTGTGTGTGTGTGAGTGTGTGTGAGTGTGTGTGAGTGTGTGAGTGAATGTGTGTTATGATGTTAATGTTTGTACTGCAGAGGTCTGATCGTGTGCAGAGTTGTGATTGTGTGCAGAGTGCCGTGTGCAGAGTTGTGATTGTGTGCAGAGTGCCGTGTGCAGAGGTCTGATCGTGTGCAGAGGTGTGATCGGGACAGAGCGCCGTGTGCAGAGGTGTGATCGGGTTAGTGTGCTGTGTGCACAGGTGTGATCGTGTGCAGTGTGCCGTGTGCAGAGGTGTGATCGTGTGCAGAGGTGTGATCGTGTGCAGAGGTGTGATCGTGTGTAGAGGTGTGATCGGTGCAAAGGTGTGATCGTGTGCAGAGGTGTGATCGTGTGCAGAGGTGTGATCGTGTGCAGAGGTGTGATCGGGTGCAGTGTGCCATGTGCAGAGGTGTGATGTGTGTGCAGAGCGTCGTGTGCAGAGGTGTGATCGGGTGCAGAGGTGTGATTGTGTGCAGAGGTGTGATCGTGTGCAGAGGTGTGATCGTGTGCAGTGTGTGCAGAGGTGTGATCGTGTGCAGAGGTGTGATCGGGTGCAGAGGTGTGATCGGGTGCAGAGGTGTGATCGTGTGCAGAGGTGTGATGCAGAGGTGTGATGTGCAGAGTGTGATCGTGTGAGTGTGCGTGTGCAGAGGTGTGATCGTGTCAGTGTGTCGTGTGCAGAGGTGTGATCGTGTGCAGAGGTGTGATCGTGTGCAGAAGTGTGATCGGGACAGAGCGCCGTGTGCAGAGGTGTGATCGGGTTAGTGTGCCGTGTGCACAGGTGTGATCGTGTGCAGAGGTGTGATCGCGTGCAGAGGTGTGTGTGCAGAGGTGTGATCGTGTGCAGAGGTGTGATCGTGTGCAGAGGTGTGATCGTGTGCAGAGGTGTGTGTGCAGTGTGCCGTGTGCAGAGGTGTGATCGTGTGCAGAGTGTGCAGAGGTGTGATCGTGTGCAGAGGTGTGATCGTGTGCAGAGGTGTGATCGTGTGCAGAGGTGTGATCGTGTGCAGAGGTGTGATCGTGTGCAGAGGTGTGATCGTGTGCAGAGGTGTGATCAGGTGCAGAGGTGTGATCGTGTGCAGAGGTGTGATCGTGTGCAGTGTGCCGTGTGCAGAGGTCTGATCGGGGGGTGCAGAGCGACGCAGACACTGGTCGAAGCGTTCCTCTGGTGGTGAGTGAAGCACAGCGCCCCCCGGTGTCTCTGTCGTCTGGGACTCACCCTTGTGCGGCGTCACCAGCAGGTCCAGCGTCTTCTGAGACAAGTTCGGCCATATTGCCATCATCTCTTTTCTGAGCTCTGCGTCCATTTGGTGCTTATCTGCCCCTCCTGCCCCCCCCCACCACCCAACCGCCACCCCCCCGCACACACACACACCACACACACACACACACACACACACACACACACACACACACACACACACACACACATGAATGACACAGACAGGAGGACAGACAAACCCAAAGGTGACACATACAGTCACAGAAAAAAGGAGTCGTTTTTTCCGCCGTCGAAACGGGACGTGAACCGAAAACACAGTGGAAACAAAAAAAATGAAATAAAAACAAACAGTGGACGAGAGACACCAGCCAAACAATGAGTCCACCACCCGCCCACATTCAGCCAAAAAGGGAGGAGGAAGAGGAAGACGTTAGTGACTGTGAACAGACAGAGAACACACGTTATTCTAAAGGTGGAACAGTGCAGAGGAAAACGCCTGGACCTGGTTTTCATGTTGTTTTGGTCACGTGAAACACTCTTGACATTATTGTTTGGTAAAAGCTGCAGCATACGAAAATGAAACTGTAAAATATTTGTATGATCTATTCATTTTACGACCAATTAGACGCATTGTTATGAAGGGAATCCAGCTGCCTGACGCGATCCTGGACACTGGATTCTCAGTCCTGGTGCTTTTTCAAAATAACAAAGATAATTTCCACGTTTATATGAGAGCTTTAATTCCGAATAAAAACGTATTCTGCTTTTAACTCTTTTCCCCATGAAGACGACATCTGACGACCCCCCTGAACCCTTATTAATGACGACTTTTTAACACCTCCGCTGTGTCACTAAAGACGTGATTTGACAACCTTTAGAAATGGCTCGGTTTTTCACATAGAGACTGTGATTGGTCGGGGCCACTACAACCCACACTAGACTGACCAATAGGATTCAAGGAGATGTTTTCGCCGATTTTTTCTGAAGTTAATCGAAGTAGTGACGATGGAGCTTCTGGAAAAAACACAACACGAAACACGTGCAATGGAAAGATGGCGGCGCTGCGACGCACAGTTTTAGAAATAATGAGGAGCGGACGTATTTTATGGATAAGTTTAGAGAAAGTGACTTTTATAGATTTCAAAGTGATGATGAAGTTGATTATAAAGTGGAAAACAGCGACAGCGACGGACTTTCGGGGAGTGAATCTTACGAAGGTGAGAATGCAGCTGATGCGTCTGTGTGGAGTCCTGCGATGTCCAAACAAACTATCCGGGCTTTATACTCGATTATGAACCAAAACTGCCCTGAAATCACTCGTGGAAGTCTGTTTTCTTTTATGCAGTGATGCTCTATTGGTGTAGCCATAGTAACATATGTATGGGTTGTTTCTAGTCGGCGTCCAGGGGGGAAAGAGTTAAAAGACCACGTAATTCTGAAGTAAGTGGGTTAGGGATAGTTTGATTCATGAGCCGGTTTCACTTCGTAGAAACCGTGTGACCTCGCAGCATTAGGATTCGTTCGCTCGACAGTAGACGGGGACTTTTTTATTTAACCAATCACTGCTAATCGTCAAATCCCGTAGGAGGAAGGACAATAACGTCTTTCCCTGAGATAAAATTCACCAAACATTCTCTCTCGCTCTTTCTTCCGGCTTTAAATCCTCGATCTCGGGAATCGTCGCCAACACAGAATGTCTGTCTTCGTCTACATCCATCTCGACGCTCTTTTGTGCTGATCTAGTCGCTGGAGAGAAATGAAACTGAGCGGAGGCCCGAGGTGGGTCCAGCCTGACGATCCGGACACGATTTCTGACACTGGATTCTCTGTCACGGTGCATTTTCAAGCGCGACAAAGAACAGTTGCCACGTTTACGCGACAGCTTTAATTCTGAATAAAAATGAATTCCGCTTTTCAAAGACCATGTTTTCCGAAGTAAGTGGGTTCGGGATGCACCGATACTTCCTTAATATACTTGTACTCGTTAAACATTTGTCGATACCGCGCACCGATACCAATATTACACGACACATCACGCAGGATTTTGGTTTCAGTGTCCCGGATAAACCAGTGACCCGTTTATGAGAAACCAGGATAAATAAAATGACTGCACATGTTAAATAAAGAGCTGTGCTGAACCTGCACACGTTTTCTTCCCAAAGACGTAAATCCGTTGGCGTCTCTATTTCCCGAAGGAGAATATTTTAATTCCAAACTATTTAATTCAGAACAATTCTTTCGGAATTAAAAATACGTCATGTAAACGTGGCCAATGATGGCAGTCTAGTGCCGCCCACTTTTGTCTCTAAACACTTCTACACCGCACTTTCTCGTGGCGGCATTTCCGGTTAAACGGCGGCCCATTAACAGTCTCTTTTTCAGGTGTATGTGTTTTTAGTGGAAGGGGCAACTAGAGCAGCCAGAAGAAACTAACTGCCCCACAATCTCACACTGCAAATTTCTCTCATCTGGACAAGATTTTAAGACTTCTACCAGGTTCTTCATCTTGTTTTCAGATTTATTTTCTACTTACTCGTACTAGTGAGACGCTTCATTCTCGTCTAGAGGAAGTTTATTTTAAGAGAACTTGGCCAGTAAAATGATCTCGCCGCACGGACACGTCATTTCAACACTTTAAAGTCGTTTTCTGATAGATTTAAGTGTTTATATCTTACATTTTGGCCAAGCTTTTTTGCAGTACGACCCTTCTTTCTGTGAGACCTGTACCGCTGTGTTTGGTGATTATTTATGGACTTAAGCTCCGTTTATATGACGACGGTTTGAACAGAAAATACAAAAGTGGCGTCGCGTCTTCACTTTTTATTCCACATTCAGATGATCGTTTTTGGAAAAAGTGTTGCAAAAGTGTGTGAAAGTCAACTTTTTGTGATGCCAGGCGGCTCGGTGGCGACGCTCGGTGGCGACGCTCGGTGGCGACGCTCGGTGGCGACGCTCGGTGGCGACGCTCGGTGGCGACGCTCGGTGGCGACGCTCGGTGGCGACGCTCGGTGGCGACGCTCGGTGGCGACGCTCGGTGGTGATGTATGTGACGCGTACGCGACCTCAGCACATCTGACCAGAGTTTTGCATCTTGGGCAGTGCAGACGGAAACACTACGACGGAGTGTGTTCAACTTTTCCACTCTGGACGGTGATTTAAAATTTTTACATTTTTAAGCCCCAAAAATGCCATCACCGTCTAAACAAAGACACTTACGATAAAATATTTTGTCCTTTTTACCCGCAAACAGGCCCTTAAAAACTGCACAGAGCTTTTACCTGTGACGTAACAATCCCAGGAACATTTAAACGGATTGTTTTGAGTCTCAGAGAAAAATAAAAAATGAACTTTGATTGATTAACGACCAAGATCAAGTCACTTCTCATGGGTTTCAGCTTCCTTTTCCTTTTTCTCTTTCAAAAACTATAATATCTAGTTTTGAATTCTTTATCGCTACAGAAACAAACTGCACTGTTACACCTTTAAAGATCGTAATGAAAATAAGATCGCGGCGGGATGCGGCGAGCGCGCGTCCGGCCCCGTACCCTTGGCGATCTTGATGTCCAGCGCCGTCCGGATCAGCGCCATCAGGGTGGAGTTGAAGTGCACCGTGTTGTCGTCGGCGACGGGCAGGTCCATCCGCAGCAGCCTCTGTGGAGACCAGCCAGGCACAAGGGGGCGGAGTCAGGGGGGCGTGGCCTTAAAGTACGGGGACGCACGTAACCTGAACGCTGGGGACGGGGGGGAGGGGGGCAAGGGGGCGGGCGGGGGGGGAGAGAGAGCTCCATAGACTTCTGCCACAGTTTGACCAAGATGTTTGACCAGATGTTTGACCAGATGTTTGACCAGATGTTTGACCAGATGTTTGTTTGACCAGATCTTTACGCTCAACGGGCCGAGCTCGTGTGACGTAACAGCATTTTAAAGGGCTCGTGTGACGCTGCGATGGACAGAAGGTAAGATGAAGGTTTCAGGTTTAAGTCCTTGGACCGTTTTTTTTTGTTTTTGATGGAAACTTTTCATCAGTTTCCACACAGAAGCCGTTTACTTTTGGTTCTACTGCTCTGACACACCACAGAGTTAAATAAGTCCTGGCCCAAAGAGAAACGTTTAAGGAGACACTGCTCTGCTTCGATGTTCGTTCTAGTCTTGTCGAGTTCTGGTGTAAGGTGCCAGACTCTTCTCGTGTCTGTGACTGAAGATACTTGTAAACAGACTTTCTTACTTTACCGGTGATTATGTCTTTTTCACTGCACAGAAAACCAACATTTGAGTTCAATACAGATTGTTTTTTTTACTCATTCACACCTCTATTCAAACTGTCCGTTAAAATCTGTGGACGGTCGATGGGTCCGTGTACCAGTCGTTCTTTTGAATTTCAGTAAAGAACGAAAAACAATAAAATGGGAAACAGTTTGTTATTTCATGTTTGTGTTTTAGAGTCAAACAAAAAAATATAGATTTCAACTTCTGCTTCTTTAATTTAAAGATGATTTCAAATGACCCAAATCAGAAAACAGCCATCGTGTCTAAAGGTAACGGTTCATGTTTTTGTGCCGAACCGATTCAGTTTCAGGTTGTTGTGGTCGTTGCAGTTCTGTGCATGAGCGAGTTTGTTCAGTTTGTGTGTGTTTACGTTCCTCCTCTACATGTGCAGCTCCACAGAGACTCAACTCTTTTTTTCACCAGGAACTCGTCTGTGATTGGGGCAGAGTTTCCCGTGGCGCTTTAGAGTTACAGCGACCGCCGTGACAACAACTGCCCCCCTGATTTGACCACTTCCCCCTGAACCACATTAATCCTCACAAAACTACTGTCGTTGCACTGGGGTCCTCACTTTCACCTTTCGCTGGCACAGAATCTCCATGCCCCCCACCCCACCCCAAACCCGTGACCTCTGACCCCAGCAAAAGTTTATTTTCAGTCGCTGGGACATTGTACCTGCAGCAGATCTGCTCTTACTGCAGACAATGTGGACACAAGATGTTTTTTTTTCTGGCCAAAACTCTGACGCTTGAGTAAAAGTTCATGCTGGAACAGTTAGTGCTGCTTTACTTTTTGAAAATAATAATATTTTTTTAAATAATATTTCACATGTTTGTTGGTTATTGAACAATATTTTATTTAACTTATTAGTTTTACCAAGCAACACTTGGATTGCATTTAGTTTATTTTCCCATTTGTAAAATGTCAAAGTAATTGTTGGTTTGATATGAACACAAATGGTTTTGCATTTTGTTCCCATACTGTACCAAAACATGAACCGATCTGTGACCTCAAAACTGAGGTGTGAACCATTACACCCATAACCGTGCCTATTTCAATTTTGATATTTTATTGTCTCTGGTTTATTTGCCCAGCAAGTTCTACTGCTTAGCGAGCGAATACGGAATACAAAGTGGACCGAAAGTGGATCTGTTCCTGTTTCTCGTCATGAAGTTCAACAGTGACTTTCTGAGACGTGAAAGTAAACGTGTCTCTATGAAAGAAGAGACATGTTTGTGCACAAAACTGCAACGATTTCTCAGGTGAGTCCTTCTAGCAGTAGATCTTCTGGGACAACTAAACAAGAGAATAAAATGTCAAAATTGGAATCGGAGACACTAAAACAGAATAATGAAATAACAAACTGTGTGAAAAATCCCTTCGTCAATCAGGTAGAATCCACGGCAAAAGAGAAATTCAATTTGTCAACTGGACAAAAGTTTCTCAGCTCATCCAAACTTCTGCTTCTTCAGTTCTGGTCACACACTGGTGGACACTTCTTTATATCTGCTGAGCTTTTAGTTTCCTTTTCCAGCTTTCTAATCAGTTCAACGGCAGCTGGATCTTAATTGTTCTCAAGATGTGTGAAAAATCGCTCAGTCGTCAAGGTAGAATCCACGGCAAAGGAGAAATTCAGAGCTGGAAAAGGAATCTAAAAGCTCAGCAGATATAAGGAAGCGTCCAAAACTGAAGAAGCAGAAGTTTGGACGAGCTGAGAAACTTTGGTCCAGTCGGCAAACTGAATTTCTCCTTTACCATGAAATAACAAACAGTTTTCCCATTTTATTGTTTTTCGTTCTTAAATGAAATTCAAAAGAGCGAATGGTGCACGGACTCCGACTGTAAACCTGCGTCTGAACGTCTTCTGTGTGTGTTTAGTTTCTCTATTGTATAAAATAGTTCATGAACGAGATTTGAAACATGCTTTTTACTTTTGAAACCTTTTCTGCTGGACGGATGAGGAATTACATCGTCCCCTCAGTCCACGGCTTTGTCCTCCATCTCAGGCTCAAAGCAGCGACCCCGTAAAATGCTGCGGCGTCACAACGGAGGCACTTTTTTTTACGCCGTACGACTCGCCTCGTGCGTCCTGCGCGTAAACGTGAGCGTGCGTGAGCCGCGGCGCGACAATTTGGACGCGTCTTTAAACGTCTCCTGCTTTTCTCCAGTGATACTCTTCAACAGCACAGCCGATCTGCCGCTAAGCAACTGTGAGAGCGCCAACCACAAGGAGGAACACCCGGAGCCGCCACGGCGTCCGGCCCAACCTGTGCCCATGTTCCCTAAATGTGTGAATGCTGCGGCGCATTCACACATCTCGTTTTTCTCAACACAAATCTGAGGATCTACACAAAAAAACACCAGCCCACCCCACACAGACTGCAATTAAGGCGCTTAATTGAAGTCCTTACGAGACAAAGATTTAAGAATGGAGAACAAAAAAAATAAACGTATCACTGGCGTCTTCTCGTGTCACAGGAGACTGCGGTTTGAGCTGAACTGAGGCGTCCGCTATAGAGCTCCCCCTACCTGTAAGGAGGGTCCCTGTCTGTCTGTACAAATCTATTCCGGGTAGAGCCCATGGAGACCGGCGTGGATAGAACAGGGCCGTTCGTATCCGGGGGCTTTCCATGGGGTTTACCTCCGAACATGAGCGTTGGGCACTCACTATGGCACACGGAGGATGGTGAGGGGTGTGTGTGGAGATCGTGTTGGGCATGCCCCGGGCCGAGAGTGGGCGGGCGCAGGGCATCAGCCGAACATCCAGCGCTTCATGCATCTACAGCCATGCAGCCAACCAACCATGCTCTGCCCACATGCACATGCCAATCCACGAGACGGGCACAGCCGAGCGCCGCAGAGAGAGAGTATCATGTTTATACACTCTATTCTATCCGACTGTACAGACGGTTTGAGTCCGTTTGTAAAAAAAAAAAAAAGACTGCGGTATCGAGGTCTCTCTCAATGCCAAACGGCTGCAGCTGACGACGTTAGAGAAGACTGTGGTAAAAGGAGAGGAGAGTTTGGACAGTGTTCAGACTGTGGGCACAGGGGGGACAGGGGACGGGGGACGGGGGGAGGGGGGGGAGGGGGGGCGCTGTTAGTGTGGAACTCGATGAGCGATGGCTTCACAGAGAAAAAGGGGAGTGAGCAGAGAGGGGTAAACAGGTAAAAGAATAAACCAAAGTAAACATTACATCGGAACACAGAGAAACTTGTAGACACTGAGTGAGACTTCAGAACAAGACGAGGACTGGACCACACGGACAGAAGTTACATCAGCTCAGATTAGTTTAGTCTTTAGTGGCTCTGAGGGAGAAGGACCAGCGCTGGACTAAAGGACTGAAGCTCTAAAGGACTAAAGGACGAAAGGTCTAAAGGTCTAAAGGTCTAAAGGACTGAAGGACTGAAGGACTGAAGGACTGAAGGACTAAAGGACGAAAGGTCTAAAGGACTGAAGGACTAAAGGACGAAAGGTCTAAAGGTCTACGGACTGGACTATCCCTGTTGGTGAACCTAAGGCGACCAGATTTTCAAACAGAAAAACTGGGACGTCCCTTGTTTGTGGTGGTTGGTGATAATAAAACTGCAAAACGAGTCATAAATCATCAGCATAGTCAGATTTTCTTTGCATCTTCGTCGTTTTTAAGCAGCGTTTCTGCATCTTACCTAAATAAATGCCGCTCTTTACTGATGACGGGGGTAAAATTGGACAAAATTTGGGACATTTCTTGTATAAAACTGGGACAAATCAGTGGTTTTGGATAAATCTGCACAGGCTCAAAACTGGGACTGTCCCGGGTAAATAAGGACGTCTGGTCACTCTAGGCAAACCCTCCGAAGAGTCGTGACGTTCCCTGTTTCAGATGGCACCAGAGTGGGTACGAACTAAAGCCTGGTTCAGGTCCAGGGTCTATAAAAGCTCCGGTAGTTACCATAGACTGTACAACGACGTGGACTAAAGGAGAGCGACGTCGCCCCGCAACCGAACGCAGCTCATCGAGGGGAGGAGCTAGAACGGCAAATCTGCAACCAGGGACCAAACGGACCTTTTTCACAACGGCCGGAAATCCAGCGAACTTTTCTGTGTCAAAATGTGTGTGTAAATGTGTGTTTTATTCTCCAGCAGCTTCATAAATCTGCCCCATCGCCAAATCTTCAACCGACAAACTCCACAAAGGAGAAACATTCTAACATGAACAATTTATCCACAACTGTCAAGAGAAGAAAGAGCAAAACATAAAGAAAACAACGACGACACATTAGTAACACAACAAACTCAACTCATGTTCTGATCCTGGAGAAAACAGACGGAATAAGTAATGCTGCTAACTCAGACTGATTCTAGAATTATGATATTGGCACAGACAGAGATTTGTGCAGTT